GTTCCCGCCCTGCTTGCCTGACGCCGCCCTGCTGTCCCGCTCGTGTCTCTGCTCAGAGAGGCCAAGAAGAAGGGCAAGTCGGAGGAGAAGAAGCCGGCGAAGAGCGTGGGCGCGCCGGCCGCGGACAGGGAGAAGGGCAGCGAGAGCTTCAAGAGCCGCGAGTTCATCTCCAGCGACGAGAGCTCCTCCGACTCCGACCACGGCAAGGGCAGCAAGGCGCAGGTGAGAGGCAGTCACTCCGTCTCCTGTCAGCCAGTGCAGTTATACTGCCATCGTGCGGTCCTCCGGGGCAGGAAGATGTAGAGACGTCTGGGCTGGCCTGTGGGGCGAATGGTCTGCCACCCCTGTGAGTCATTTAGACCAGCCTGTAGGGCAATTGATCTGCCCTCCCCTAAGGGGTATTTAGACTGCAGGACAGCTGGGTTTGGGGGCAAGTTTGTTTTAAGTTGGGAAGGACGCAGGTAGCCTGACACACCGGGAGCAGCAGGGGGCGCCGTTTCTCCATGGTGAAGCCAGCCAGGGGGGTCCAGGATGTAGAGGAGAAGGATTGCAGTGTTTCTCGCTGTGTCGCGTGCCCTGCTTCTCAGTGGCGCTGCGTGTCGGGGTGACGCTGAGAGCATCCCCCACCCCCAGGCACAGGAGGGTTTGCGGGGTCCAGTCGTAGTGGCCTGAGTCTCAGTGTTTTAGGGATCTGCGGAAAGAGCCCATTTACACTGGGAGATGTTTGGCTCACAAGCGATTCCTGCTCGGCGATTGAAGAGTCCAAGCTTTTGCCTTTTGGGATTTTTTTTTATTTATTCCTTTTAGCATTCATTTTGATGCTGGCTTGTCAAATATTTGACTTGGTTTTTGTGTGGCCAAATGTATGCCTGTTTTTTGGTTTGATACGAGGGGTTTAGGACTTTGTTCAGTAGTCTCCGAATATTTAGGACTGGTTAAAGCTGTGCAGATGGCTAGGCATGTGTCTTTGTGCTGGTGTGCTCTCTTGATGTCGAGCGTGATCTAACTGTGACCGGGATGTCGGAGAGAGG